CCATTGAGTAGCAAAAGTACAGCACCGCGTACTGCCTGCTTCGTTCCTTGGTCATGCACTCTTGTACGACCCGAAATCCTTCACTTTCGGCTATTTTAATGAGAAGCTCATTGACACCGGTCTTACGAAGTTCCTTGGCCTCTGCCCTTCAACCTTGTCTTGGTACTTGGAGTTTACCTCCACATGCTCCACCTTCTCGGCCCCTTTCACGACCAAGCGCTCTCCCTCCATGAGAGCAAGGGATCGATGACTTCATGGAAGTCCCGCCTCTGCGGTACCATGGCGTTGTCATGCCCATGGCCCCATTATCTGTCGCCTCACATGTACATCCCTTTCTTCACAATCGGTAGATCTACCTCTATGGCACTCCTCCGAGTCCACCTCCATTCTAACCAATGCTTAGATTTTGGGTAGCTAAGTCCCTCTGAACTCGTTGTCGCTTCCTCGCCCCTTTCGTCTCTCTGCTTCAACACCTTTATGCTCTCCAAGCAGTTCCCTTTGGTCGATGGAAAGACAGACTGCAACTCCCATGCATGGTCTCTACCATCATGTTGCAGGGTTCACATCGATTCTGTTCTCCTTAGCTTCCTTGGTAGCAATGTTCGCTTACTCGATCTTGTCCTCTGATTTGTCGGGCTCCCTTAAGCGAATATGGGCTCTGAAGTAGTCCAACTCTCCAGCTGCTTCGAACATACCTCTGCATGATCAAGTCCCTTCCATGGGACTCACTAGTACTTGCATTCGAACTTTTCCCTCGGTAGTACACATCTCTCATATGATGATGACCAAGGCTTTCATCCGATGCAAAATTCGATGCACGCACGGAAGACCCGCCTCTGCGATACCATGGCCTTCACTACTTGAATCTATAGCCCTTCTTATCGTCGTGTTATTCATCGAAGTGGAGCTCCCAGTAGCTCCCGATCATACCTCCATATGATTTAGTCCACCACGGGACTACAATCTGTGTGTATCGCATTGCCACGAACTATTCCACCACGATCCGTTGCACCATGTCGCCTCCTAAATGACATCTCCATTGCATTCTGATCATTGTGGGATGAACTCGGATTGCGATCCCTCCATGTGTGGCCTCTGCCAACATATCGTAGGGCCTCTTCCACCTTTGATTGTGTTCGCTCCTTTGGCAATCGACCTTCATCCACCCGCTCTTGGGTCACACCTAGATAAAGCACCGCTCTAGGACAGTCCGTCACCTAGTAGCTCTCGAAGTCCACCAACTTCGCTGAAAATGGTGCACCATTGTCTGGATCCTGAGCCTCTACCCCCCACCAGCACAATCTCCACTGCGCACCGCTTCCTTCATGGCAACTTGAATGGCAAACTACGACATATTCTTCAAGAGTACCCGCCTCCGCGTCCTCTTGTCTCGTGTCAAGGCCTTCTGATCCAAACTTCGCCTCCGCAAGTTGAGTTGTCTTAGTTCATCCGTCAAATGCTTCTCTGAGGTAAAGTGCATGTGCCTCGAAGCTCCCTTTGTCTTTGGCACCATGCAGGATGAGCCCACTCCATCATAATGAAGGACCCGTGAAACGACATGATCCCTCTCTTTCCTCTGCAAGAGTTCATGTCATTGACCTCTGTCCAAGGAAAGCTCTGTGCCTCCGCTCCATGTTTTATCTTCTATGTCGGCTCCCTTCATGCGACTTAGGTGCTTCGCCAAGTTACACCTCAGTTGCTCCGCTCCTCGTTTTGCATTGAGTTGATGGTGGCTCTTGCGCCCACCATTCCACGGGTCAGCCCTCTATTGAATCCGATCTCCATATCGACTCCAAGTGTGCCTTCATTTGTGTTACCTTAGGTCGCTCCCCCACTTGATCTTGTAATGCATCCACCAATGCATTCTCTCAAGCGAGATCATGTGACGACTTCTCGCCGCTCACTCGATCTATTGAGCTTCGTGGAGTTGTTGTTTTTGAGATACTCCTCAACATATACGGTCCATTGCACATGATTCTCCCTCTAGAGAGCTGGGACTTATCCCTCCTGGATATCTATCCCGTTGGAGCAATATCTCTCTTCATTTCCTTCCCTTTAAAAGCTTCGGAGACCACCATCCCCTTGGACTACTCTGACTTGCTGAACAAACTGTGCATTGTTCTGCCTCCTGAAAACGCACTTTGATAGATTGCGACTCCACGTCAATACAACCCCCGCTACACCACTCAAGGCCTAGCAACATGTTGAACTCGCTGCACACTTCAGCCTCCTACGGACGTATCCTTCTCATGCCGAAGAGAAAGTTTCAATGCTCCATAGCGCCGAGTTTCGGTCGCCTTGCGATGGCTACGAATATTCCATCGTCCACATACAAGCCCTTGCATAATTACCGAATTCTTCGAGTTAGCAATTCCCCTCACCTCTGTAAGCTTTGCACAACTCTTTCGGTCGCTAAGCAAACCATTCCACCTTGCATGGTCTCATCCTTTACCAAGCGCCTCACTTGCCTTGAGCACCATCAAGTATAGTTGTCAACGTCGAGTCGTAGCTCGAACTCAGCCATCCCAACTTTTGTACGCTACGCATTCTTCCAAGCTTGCTTGTTCTCGTGGTGCCTCTTGCGCGAAGGGTTGGCCATTCCTCTGAATGACAATCTCAGATGCCCGCTCGTCCGAGCGACTCCTTTTCCCTACATCTCCATGCTCGTTTTCCCCCAAACGGTCGCACGTGCTGATTGCCCTCAACTTAGCCCAGTTATGTCCCCCACGTTTACATGTCAAGTGTTTCTATGAGTGCTTGTCCCACTCTGATACCATCTATCAAGGACTTAGCTAGTTTTGCCTAAGTCGTGCGGCACCTTTGCGTGTCTATCCGTAAAAGTCAGCCTCCCCGAAACCTCCCATGGTCCCTTAGGACCTACAAAAGAGAAAACGGGTTAAAAAAACGCCTCACTCGGGATCCACAAGCAAACATTTCCGAAAACACTTCATAGTCAATACAAATTACAAACAGACTTTACAAGCTCTGAATGATTGCATAACAAAGGGTCAAAATGGTCCACTACAGACCGAATATCTCTCACAAGTGTCCACATGACACAACCTTTATTTATAAGCCTAAAACGGCCACCAAACCCAACTAAAATGGGGCTGTTAAGCCTTCGCCCGTCCCTCTACATGCTGTGAAAAGCATGAACAAACCAAAAGAGACAAACATACATAAGCATTACATCAAACATCCTGTTTAGATAAATAAAAAAAAAATTTTGGGGCAGTTTTGCCCGTTGTGGTGAGCAATTGCATTGCAGCACTACGAACTATTCTTACTTACATTCTTCAAGCAAAACACACAAAACCAAGGCAAAACATACTGCTAAGCATCTGTACAAGCATGCAAAAGCGACAAACAGTTTGTTGAGTGAAGATGTTGCGGGTGCGCGCGACGACCGTGTGTGACAATATGGCGAAGGCGATGTAGGCTCTCTCTTCGGCTAGCAAAAAGGGTCAAGCGACGAGGGGTGGGTGTGGGGTGGTAAGTAGTTGAACGAACTAATCTAATTTGATTGACTCAGGTGGCACGCTTGAGTCACCTAGCGCTTGGGTCAAGGCGTTCACTCAAGTTGTGCCTCTTTAAAGTAACTCGCCCGAACCCTCTTCAAGGTGCTCGAGCCTTGGCTTGCCTTGCCCGAGCGCCTGAGCACCTTTTCAAAACATTGCATACTATCATCAAGAAAAATGGTGATATGAGGATTCCTACTTGTGAACAACAGACTCGTTCTTGTAATAGTCTTAAGGGCGACGAGTTTTGAACAATTACAAAGAAAAAAAACATCAGATCCACTGATGCAGAATTAGGATAGAGTTTAGAAAGATCATAAAAGTTAGTAAGAAAATTGGTTTGAATTTGCCTAATATGATCACCTTTTTTTTCGTAAACAGTAAAAATGACGAAAAAATAAATAATATTCAAATAAAATTGCAAAGATGTGCAACAAGAACCAGGATCAGCAATATTGATCAGAACTGGCATAAATGATCAGCACTAAGGTTGGTGACAACAGCCTGATTTGGCACATTCCCACTGATTGGTGAATGTTCCTCATAATCTCATGAAAAATCAAGAACACGGACTTAACCAAACCCAACACAATCCCCGATCCATGGAATCAACAGATTGGCATGTGTATTACAACATTTCAATGATCTATGATCATCACCTTTAACAATCATTCAATTGTGATGTCTATACTACCCAAGTACGAGATAGCTCTGTTTTAACCACCAACAGCTTGCAACAAAAGGATGAGATGGTGACAAAAAAATAATATGCAGTCAATCACATAGTAGCTCATATATAAAAATCGAATACCAATATCATAAAATACCAAATGTCAGAGTGTCATAATCCACCCAACCTATAGAAGTTAAACAAAACTATCAGCTGGCTAACACAATTAAAACCAAGGTTTGTCATACCGAAACGTACCGCCCATATCGGGTGGTACGTACCGGTCCGACAGGTTACCGGTACGCAGACCGCCCAGTACCGCTACAGTGCTACAGTATTATACTGTATCGCTGCTACAGGCTACAGTACTATAATATAGCACTGTTACAGTATAAAAAATATAAAATTATTCGGTACATCAGGGTGTACCGCTCGGTATGCCCTGATGTACTGCCCGGTACCATACCGTACCGAGCCCGGGTCGAAACACCGGTACGATACGGTACGGCGAACCTTGATTAAAACCACAAAAAAGTTAGGTAATTCCTCAAATATGCATTTATAAACCTACAAAGACCAATTATGTAGCACAATTGTATATGCATTCTCAATCTTACAAATGCAAAAAGCAACCATGTGGTTGTTATTACTTGTATGGCTGAAGCATGATACAATTACGATAAGCTACTTAAGTGTATTTAACTTAGAAAGAAGTGAATTGACCAGTAAATGCATCAACCACTGAATAGACTGAGAAATAAATTCATCATTACTAAGGTGACTTGCCTTAGCTCCAGTCAGATAAACATTACCTGGATTCTTTATCGAATCCAAAACGTGTGCCAAAATAGAAGGCAACGGCAAGTAACCATGCATCGCTGTGGACTGCAACTAGGGCAAGCCAGTCCTTTTCATCCATACCATCTCGCGCAAAGTTGATTCCCAAGGCTGGCTCAGGAAGTTCTGGAGGTACTTCCTCAGCAGGCAAGGTTACTTCCCAAGTCTCATTAGGAAGCCCATAAAGACATAAATTCTCCTTTTCTGCAAATATAATCACATTATTAGTAGTTGCATCAATAACAACAACAATAAGCTGTGAAGATACTTCGTTAGTTAAACAACAGATGTAAATGTATAAACCGCATAACAATCCAGCAACAGCCTGATGCAAAGGTCTTCTACATATACGGACAGGAAAGCTTAAATGAACATGTATCATACAGCATGGTGCACAATTCTAGAAACATGATTCAGATACCAAAGGGGTAAACTAAGAAAACCAAGGTTACAATTCTTTAAATGTGTTGATATTACATCATTGCAGTAATTCAAAACCCATTTGAGAAAATAAAAAGGCGAAAATGTCAGAAACTCTTAAAAAACATAGTTCTTGACACCATAAAAAAAACATTTCATGCAATTTGAAAAAAGTTTATGTTCACATTCAATCAGATTTGGTTTTACATTTGACTAAACTAATTAACTACAATTGTAATAGAGTACCTTCAACTGAAATTTATCTATTGATTAGCTTTCCTATTCTTTCTCATGATCCTCAGTTGACTTTCATCCGTAGCTTTTGGAAATTTACAGATAATCATGCAATTGTTAGGATTATCTGGATTATACAAACTTATACTTCTGAATCATGGCTACTCAGGACATTCTGAGCTTCAGATAACATTGGATCTTTAGTTGAATAATGAGCAAGGATGATGAGTTTGATCTATTCTGTTCTATTCTGACTTTCCTAATTCTCCAAAGACATCATGATCATACATGAAGTCATTTGCAAACACGTGTAGAACCTAATGAGCAAGGATGATGAGTTTGATCAAGATGTCTCGTTTTCCGAAATCACCACCAAAAAGATCTTAACCTCTTCTTAAGCCTTTTCTTCTGTACTCAGCATCTAACCAAAATGGATTCGACATTTGGACATGACATATTTAAAACCTTAACACCAGGTTAAACATGTTAAAATGAATGGTATTTGGATATACATATTAATTAAAAGAACTTAAATCTCCATCTAATACCATTTTTGGTAACCTACTAGACTGGTACAGTACCAGTGACATTGACTTGTAACACCTTAAATAATTGATTAATATAATAAAATATAATAATGAATGGTGTTGTATGGTAGTAATTTGCCAGACCAATAACTGATTCCCAGAAAAACCATTTCAACAATGATAAACAAAGTAGCGCAAGTTCAAATACATACAGAACTGAGAAGAGAGAGAGGCATTAAGGCAATCATTCCTGAGTAGTTTTACTTGATTGTTGAGGTTGATCCACCAGTCTCCAATGATTTGCAGCTCCAATAGCATTAAATTCTCAGTAATTTTGAGTATCAGTGGATTGTGTAAAGTTAAGTATATGACAACAAGGAATTTAGGCCTTTAGGACTTATGTTATAACAAAAACATGAAAGGTAGGATAATTGAAATGCCTTGGACATGCTCCAAGTCCTCGAAACTAATTTCATGAGAATAGTCGCCTCACACCACTCACATATATTGTAGGGCCAAGTGCTTCTTTCAATCATTCATTCACTAATGATACATATTACACCACTTTTTTCCTTTTAACAAACTCCCTAAGTACAAGAAACAAATAGAAAAAAAATAGAAGAATAAAGAAGATAAAAACAAGAAAATTACAATTAAGAATTACATCCATTGAATTGAGGTCTATTAAACAACTTTCTTAAATTAAGGACAATAATACATACAAATTTAATTGGATGATAATCTTTCCTTTTTACACCGCAGTTGATGTAGGCTTCATTTTTTGAGGATTCTCTAATCAAACTGAACACCCTTGTAAGAATGAAGTACTTGTTCAAGCCTTGGAATCTTCAATCAAACACAAAATTGACTTTCCTATTTTTAAAATTTGGCTTTCTTTTCCAAGTAATGTAAAAATATAGAAGACATTGTCATGTGGCAATGGCAAAAAAACCCTTTAAGTTACTAAATCCATTCCAAAGAAAAGCAAAGAATATAATAAATAAAATGAAGAACATGTTCGATCCAAGGTTCACCATTTTAATCAAAAGGGATTCAGAATAGCATTTCACTTTTCGCACTAAGTGCAAACCCAAAACGTGCCTTGATTTCCATCACATATGGGTCAACCCATGTCAAAGGTGGTTAAAACACGACTAAAATTTGTCGATCAAATTGCTTAAATTAATTAAATCATGTCAAAGATGAGTTAATGATAATACCATACCATCCTCCACGCACCTCAAACCTATTTCAAAATTTCTTCTTTAAGGGGTGGGGCAGAAATATTTCAAATTTTGCTACATCTATATTTTCACAATCATTAATACATATTTCAAGGAAAAAATGAGCTTTAATTACTAACAAAAGTAGACATAATTATAAACACATAAAATTTTGTCTCATCAGAAAAATAGATAGATTTAATTTTGTGTAAGAATTGTAAAATTACACATGGCAAAAGCTTGACCAATCAACATATTTTGATAGTTTTAAATGTATGTTTGAGGAAATGGAGCATAAAAAATTGAAGTAGTTTTACTAAAACTAGTTGGTACTTGGTAGATATCAAAGAGAAGGTTTGGATTTTGGATGGGGAATTTGGATTAGGATAATACAATTATAATGTGGAATTTCATAGCTACACAGTTTAAAAGTGTGACAAACGTAATCGTTTGGGAATCTAAACAAACTAGTGTGGCTTCAAGATAGCAGACCTGATGATGGTTTGGGGAGGTTCAAAAAGCAATAACTACTAAAAGTAGTATGTTTTAAAGATTGACAAAATTATAAAAATGAGAAAATTTTGGAAGATATGTAAAAAAACGAAGCAAAAGAAACTTATATATATATATATAGAGCAAATTAGAAGGCATTTGATAAATTTTACAACAAGCTAGTAAGTTAAAATATGGAAAAGGACATTTTCCATGTTGCTAAAACCAGGGAAAGGAATAAGGATAATTAAGCGTATAAAGAATGACGATCAAAAGGTACATATTATTATTAATGATATAGAATTTTTAAAAAGATGAAGAGATTATTTTTAAAAATTATTTAATGAGCATTCTCTGGATAACTTAATTTTAGCGATAAACAGTAGTGATAAATTTCAAAATCATAGATTAGTTCATAAAATTAAAACAAATTAAAGAGGGTGAAGATAGGTAAAATAGTATAATATGATGAGAAGTCAAAGAGTTTAGAGAGAGGTAGTTTGGTTTACTAGTTTATTTAAAAATTCTGAAAATTAAAAAAGATGTATGACAAACGAAATGGCTTCTAATAACAATTTAGAAGACTTGGAAAAATATTCAAAATTGTTGAAACCATATAAGAATTAAGCTAATGAGTCACAGTACTAAACTTTGGGGAAGGGTAATGGTACAGTAGTAGGAAATAGGAAAACCCTCGGGTTTGACTGCATTCCTCTTAATAACTGGCCCACCTTTTATAATATGGATGAGATGATGAGGTTCTGGTTTCTAAGTTGATTTGTAAAAGTAGTTGGAATTCTTAATAACTTCATGAACTGCTTATGCTGTTTTAGCGAAGAGGATTTGCAGGATTCGTATACCCTTAGCTTCTAGTGATGACAGCTGAATTTGGGCTTCTCACCCTTTATTGGATGCCTCAGGCAAGAGTCTTTACAAATTTAAGCAAAACTAGCTGATAGCTGGACTGGAAGGCTGAAGTGGAAGGGAGGCAATGTGAGGTTTGGATATAGTTCCTAAAGTTAATTTTTTTTATCTGGAAACTCATTTAGCACAGGCTTGCCTTGTTACATGGGCCTCTGTCTGGTCTGACTTGGAGGTTGTGAGTTGTGACTCGGTTAATCATCTCCTTTGAGTATAGGTACATGATTTCTGTTTGGAGCATCATTCAGGATACTATTTTACTTGAGAGGATTGGAAAAATGGGGCTTGGTTGGAGAAGGGAAAGGATTTAGATGTTTGCTCCAACAAAATCACTTGAGCCATTATAGCCTATGCCCCTGGTTGTTATTGGGAAAAGAAAAGAAATGACACTGTGCATTGCAACCACACTCTGCACCCAGCCACTATATGGACCAATTGTCCAGGTCTGGGCCAGTGAGCATAGCTCAAGTATAGCCTCATCTGAGGGAGCTTGGGGTATTTGCCCAACTGGGAACATCCGAGTCTCCAACCAGGTAATGTACTATATATATATTGTGATAGCTCTTTTGTTGTTAATTTGGTATGTGTAGAGGCACTGGTTTTTGCATCAAAGACACGGAGGAGGAGGACATGGCGGCAGGAAAAGTAGCAGTCAGTCCTAACAGCCCCATCAAAGCTAGTGTAGAGCTGTGTTCCAGGGGCTGAATTGGACTAGGCAAAGAGAGCTCCAGCATATTTTGGTGACTGGAAGCTAACAGATTGATCTAGATTCTAAACAACTCTGAGCGAAGAACTTGGACTATCAGAAACCTGCTTATTGACTGTACTAAGCAGGGAAATGATGTTAACAAATGGGTTCATGTGCCAAGCAAAGCAATCTTTTGGCCCACCATCTTGTTAACCAATCAAGAACCAATGGCATCTCTCTTTTTTGTAGCAGAAGCTGCAGTTTCTGTAGCTGGACCAATTTCCTTAATAGTGAACAGTTAGTTCTCTTAAAAAAATTTGGGAAAGGATGACTCAAGGAAATATAAGGTGCAGAATATTTATGAGAATCAATGTGGTTTTATGCTCAAAAGACCAAAACACAAAAGCTACTTATTTTTAAGGTAATTTATGAATTACTATAGAGAAAAGATACAGTTGCATATGATTTTTATTTACTTAAACAAGTCTGACTTTCTAGGTTTTCACTATGGTGGGTTTTATAAAAAAATGGAAAATCTAGTAAAGGTTGATGTGACAGAATGTGTATAATGGAGATTGTTTGCTGACATTAGGACTGTAGGTTGTGCCTAGCAAATTTTGTATAACTATAAGGTTACCTCAAGTATCTTGCAAGTGTTTACCATTTTAACTTACTAGTCATATACAGATTAGACAATCATGGTGTATATTATTTACTGTAGATTTTGTTTTGGTTGATGAGAGTCCAGTTGTGATTCATTTTAAATTTGAATTATGGAGACAAACTCCATGCTCTAAAGGTTTTTAATTAAGCAAAGTTAAGACCAAATATATGATATGTAATTTTAATAAACTATTTTAGTATCTTGAATCTAATATTCAACCGAGAGGGGAGGTTGATGAAGATATTCTTCATAGAATAAAGATTAGATTGCTAAAGTGTGAGGGGTATTAGGTATTAGGAATTTTCTGTAATCATCCAGTGCTCCTCTTTTAATGTAGCTAAAGTGAGAATGTTTTGAGTAGAAAATGGGGTAACCCTTTTTCCTTTCCAGGACCATCAAGGACATAATTTGACTTGGATGTGCCAAGTTAAAAAAATAAAATACAATTAAACATGTTTTCATCTTAGGGAGATTTGTCCAAAATTAGGGAGATTCATCCAAAATGGTATGGACAAATTGAAAGAAGGTATAAATGTTTTGTAACAAGACAAAAGAGAATCAATCAAGATAGTGGTGCAAGAAAAGGTAGAGAATTATTTACGGTAAGAAATAAAAAGAATCTAAATAATCTTGATTTAACTTCAGCTATTGTCTCAGCTTAGTGGCAGGCAAATATCCATTGTGATTCAGGTGACCCCTAATATTTGGGACATTATGACTTATTTTTATTGAACAGATCATAAAGATTGAGTTAGGTTACCCAATTAATAAATTGGTTGTGTTTGGAATACAACATCATTATCAATTTAATAGGAACAACACAATAAGATAAGTACAGTAGGACAATTGAATGAAGTGACTGGATTAAAAAATCTAAAAAATATATATGAATAAAATTGCCAAGTACTATTTTACTCATGAAATCCTTCCAAACACCACCCTGGAGAGCTGCCACACATCATGTAAAAGATCCAAACGCACGAGATGAAACAAAAAATACTTCAATTGTGAATGCATGCAACCAAATGATAGCAATTGCATCTCCAAATGCAACATTCTCAATTAACATATTAGTCCAACTAGACAAAAATAAAAAATGTTTAACAATAAAGTTCCTGTAGCACTTCTAGATTGTGATTCATCTAACCATCAATATCATCAAGGGTATGTTATTTGTAAAATTGATCAATTAATTATATGAGATGCATGACAAGCCAATAGATGGATTCCACCACTTAAAACAAACAGAAAAGACAATAAACAAATTTCATTTGTTCATCGCTCAATATCTGAAAAAGTAAACAAATCAGATTAAATCAATTGTGAATCTAAGCTTGTTGCTTAAAGACTGAATGACAGTGAAATAGTTGTTTCTACATACTTAGAGAAGGGAAAAATTCTAAAATGAATAAGAAAAGAATGAAGAAAAGAATGAAGAGAAGAATGAAGAGAAGAATAACAATATGACAAGGGTAACACCGTAACAAACAGATAGCAAACCCTGCTATCTACCAAAATTGAGTATTGTTCACCATCCAAATCCATATTCTATGCCCTGATTTTTATGTTAAACCCGAGCAACTACTGTCCTAATCAAGCTAAGTCTTATTAGACTCTCTACAATTCCAAGAACTTATCTGGATAATGACGAAGCCGTATATTATAAGTGATCTTAACCAGTTACAAGACATACATCACAAACTGAGTATATACTCCCAGTAAAAAGGTGATCGACAGAGAAAATGACATACAGATTCCATTCATCATCAATCAACCAATTAACAGATAATAAGCAAAGTTGTTATTTACCAAAATTAAGTATTTTTCCTTTTCACTAACCATCCTTATTCTATGTCCTCATTGATATGTTGAACTCGACCAGCTGTTTTCCTACTTCAGCTAGATCTCAAGAGAGTCCTTACAACTCCAAGAACTGATCTGGATAATGATAAGAGTCCTAAAATTGAGATTCTATTTTCACTAGACTTACTTATTCTATGCCCTCATTCTTATGTTGAACTCGACCAACTATTTTCCTACTCAAGCCAGGTATCAAAAGACTCTCTACAGCTACAAAAACTGATATGGAGAATGACTGAATGGTACACTCTCAGTGATTGACCAGTTACAGGACATACAACACAAAATAAGAATATATTCACAGTAACAGGAGACCCACAGAAAATGGCATATAGATACCATTAATCATCAATCACCCGTTTATATGATAGATCGAGAAATTCTACTAACTGCTATCAAGGACAATACCCTGGAACTAACAGAACACTGCGAGGTGTAACCCTAACCAAAGGGAATAAACCAAAGAAAGGCGCTAACATTTCACCTGGATCGCACAGCTGGTAGAACTTTTCGACATCTGCAGCAGCAGCAAAGGCAAAAGTTTAACACATCGATTTCGAGGAAAAAACAACAAGGAATCAAACAAATCCGTAAGAAAAAGAAAAAATGTAGTGATTAAGCACCGGTTGTGAGCGCCTTGATCATGCCGGCTCTTCGGCCTCTGAAGTCGCGGAAGACATCCTCCGCAGTGCGAGAACTGTAAGCTCCATCGCCCACGTCCATTGCTCGATTCGACCACAAGCTAACGGGAAAGAAATCGAGGATTCGAGCGGGAATTTGACGCTATGGATGACGAAGAACGGGCTCGAAGGGAGGTAGAGAGAGGCTTAGGGCTTCGAATTCATTGAGGGGAAAGATTACGGTTGAAGACTTCGAGGGGAAGGAGGGATTCAAAAGCACATCAGACCACGAGCGAGAGAGAGGGCTGCACTGTTATGGGTTTTAGAAGAAGCTTTCTATTTACGGCTCTCTTTACTATTAATAATCTCTTATTATTAATATTTTTAAATAATAATAATAATAATAATAATAATAATAATATGTTATCGATTTTATTTTTTTTTATAACCTCTTATTTTCATCCTTATCGGTCCCACCCGACCCGCTCATCACCCCTCGATATTGTAATTCGAGAAAAAATAAATAAAATTAAACAAAAGGAATGTGGAGGAGGAGGGTGAGAAGGAAAAAGAATAGAATCTTTATATTTTATTTTTAAAAGAATAATTTAAAATTTTTAAAAATAAAATTATAAATAGTAAAAAAGATTGTAAAATAATAACCTCCTTTTAAGAATATGGGATGGTTGTAGGTTCATTTTTGTTAGGCAGGTGTCGAGAATTAAGAATAATGTCTCTTATATTTCTTTAGGCGGTCTTCATTTTTTTAATTTTAAATTTGTGTCCTGTCCCTTTCTTAATACTCAACATATTCTTAAACATATTAAAAATTAATTTTTGATGATCACTCTATTAACCATAAGATATATTATTCTAAATGGGTGAATTGATCTATACTATAGTATCGACCAATCTGCTTCTTCCTCCTCTCCTCCCAACTCTCTCCTCTTCTTCTCTCACCTATCCCATGCAATCTACTAGTGTTACAAGTCTTCATTTTGTAGAATAACATAGCAGTCTTCATTTTGTAGAATAACATAGCAGTACGTCTTCATCATTTTTCATTGTTGCTCTTTTTCTCCTCTCTCCAAACCAAAATGCGTTAACCGACTTGAGTAACCGTGTGGCCAAGGTGTCAAGCTCAATCTGATTACCGATGTTCAAGATCATCATGATGATTAAGCCTTCGTCACATCGAGTTGGCTCCGGACGTAGCTCTCCGCCGCGCACATTGTCTGCTTCGTGATTGTCAGGCTTCTGCACACTTGCCTAGGTCGGGAGGGGAGAGGTTTCTCAACTTGACCTCTTTGATGATTAAATTAGTATCAAGTGAGTTTTATATAGAAGGGTCGCCCCTATCAGATACTGATCGGGGGGCTTTTATGCTTGCGGTCAAGGGTCGATCGTACGTAATCTGCCTGCACCGACTGATTTCTTGGGCGATTAAATTCGTACCTTTGGGCGATTGCCATCCGGTTTGTACAGGATGGTGTCGTTCCAAGCTTTCCAGAACACCTTTCGTCAGTACGATGCTTTCTCGTGTGGCTCCGGATGATGCGGGAGGGTGTGATCGTCGTTCCAAGTCTGAGGTGGCATGTTTGACGTGATGCTTCATCAGGATCCTAAAGTTCTACGTCTGCACTGATATGTATGTTGACCACATCCACAGGAGCGTTGCCAAAATATACCCTATCGATATATACTCCACTCACTAAAACTTCTTGTTACCGATGTGTTTGAAGTATCGTCACAAATATACAGTTCAGCTATCAATCACTTGTGAAACGTGTAAATGTACTCCAACTTTTACAGTGTATTCCTCATTGTATGTGAAAATGTATATTCATATATGTACATGATAGTACTATAATGCACATCATTTTAACATTTAAAATAGTTGTAGTGTGTTTTTTAATCTGAACGAAAATACTATAATGATGTTTAAAAACATTAAAACTAATTTTTTATTACTTGAAATTCCCTCCTATTGTACATATATTGCTCATAATTGATTGTTTAATCGTATAAATTTCAGTGTGGTGTTTTGTTTATTGTTGATAATTAGAATAATGATTGTGACATTTCCTTACATGAAATAGCTAAATGTAAGTTTTATCATACTTCTCAATGCAAATTATGTCAATATCAATTTTAAAGTCCAAGATATTTATATGTTAATATTGTATGTCATTAAAATAATAATAACAAGTGTCTTATTAACCATTTATAGTATTTCTTGAAATTGTTACACCATTTTCTAAAACTGAATAAGTACACTATAATGACTTCTTATCACTTGAAACCAAGGTATTAGTGTATTATTACTTCAGAAACGATTATTTAGATGTTGATATAATTACTTATATATGATGATTCTCTTCCGAATGATATATTCTCTGATCTCGACATGTTAATATGGAAGCAGAGGTGTTCTACCTTCTTAGTTAATAAAAACTGACTCATCCCAAACACAACAACAATCAATTAGTTGACATAAAACATGCTATTATTAAACGGAAGAACTTTATTATCAAAAATCTGAAATCAATTAACAATAGATATAAATATTACGATGCGTACTTTTGATTTTATTCAGAAATTTTTTTTCTCTTCTATTAGTGCACTATCGTTGAATCCTAAATCTAATATAATATTGATTTGTAAGGAGAACTAGACTCACCTTCCTATCTCTTCCTATTTTATATTGAACCACTATGATCGATAGATTTAGAGATAAAATAGAAAGATACGTAATCTCTCATTAATTGGTTCATGCGAACCAACCTAACGTAATTGGTTCACGTGACTAAGGGAGATAAGAGAATATATGTAATCTCTCAATTATATCATGTATCCACACATTCATGTACTTTCATATTCGCGTGTCTACATATTCGATTATTGTGTATTTGTCATATGCCTTTAATCCCTAAAAGGTCATGTATTTTTATAGGCGAGAGCAGAGAAAATAAGATAAGTAATTAGAAGAGTCTCTCCCATCAATGTCATCTCCTAAGGAATCCTACCATAATTGGACTTCCTTTCTATTAGTCAATAATTGTATCAAAATTCAATCATATCCATAATATATCATACATAACTAAATAGGGTTACATAATCTAATATTCTCCACTTCGCCCATTAATTTATAAGATACAAAAAGTTTCAAAATAAAAAATAAATAAATATTAAAAAATTTTATCTAATTGGATTCTAAATTTTTTGAAAAACATTTGCATGTGTACATTAATTTTATAAAACAAGCCAACAAGTCCAATAAATATAATAATACTACATTAAGTTTGACTAGTAATACTATCATGTGATTTGTCTTATCAAGATAATCTTATCATCACATTCAATCATATACATAAATTTGAACATGATAGCAGAAACAAATAACTTTAAGTACATAAGCAACAATGTCAATTACAATATATAAGTAAGCATCATCATATTTTTTATGGATTACTCATAAATCCAATCATAAGAACATGTTCTTTCAATCACTTTAAGTTTTAAGTGCTAAGTAAATGAATCAACAACCAACATAGTAAAACTTAAGTTATTAATTGATATTAATTATTTTTTGACTCTTTTATCTAATCATTAAGTACTTTATACCGTAATGCATAGAACTATAATGATACTTATTATTTTTAGAGAAGAAAACTACTGTGATATATCATAAAATATCTTTAGTGACTTGACAATTTAATCTAACTATACCAAGTATTGAGATAAAATTTCGTAGTCATAAAGTTCAATTAGTGGCCTCAAAACATGTCACAAAATCAACTTATATTATCAATAATATAATAATATATTATTTTATATTTTTCTTATAAATTATCCCTCTAATTAATAAATATAAATTGTAAAGTAGATTTCTTATTATCGAGACAATTTACAAAAATCAACACTTGAAAAATATCATCATTTCAAGCTAATATATATATATATATATATATATATATATATATATATAATCCATCGTCCCTTTCACATATCTTATTACTTTATTTGTAATCATTTAATATTTTTATTTCTAAGTAACTCTAGCATTAATCTAATATTTTAACTATAAAATTGATATATAATCTATCATATGCTTAAGCATATAATTGACTTTCAACTGTGCATACATAAATAATTTTTCTTTTTATCTGATTCTTCTCAAAATCATTTTAAAAATACTTATTTTGATTGAAACTTTTACTTTTATCATTTGCTGAATAAGGCTGTATATTAAATCTCTCAACTCAATCAATATATCTTTTCTAAAACATTCATAATAATCATTAAGAACTATCCTTAAATATCTCATAAGATGTCTTATTTATATCAATCATCTTAAAATTTTCAGTGAGAATTTTTTAGTTTAGTATAATAAACTAAGATCACTACTAGGAAGCAAAATATTACATATATATGTAACCAATATAATAAACTTGCTCCCATTGATCTTCATATATAAATACTGATCAATAATATTTTTCTTAAATCTGAATGAAGTAATAATATCAAGAAACTTTATATGTCATTGTTTAGAAGCTTGTTTAAGGTTATAAGTAGATTTTTTTAATTTGTATACCAAATTTTATATATTTTTATTTTATTTGCGAATCATTTAGGGTAACCCATATAAATCTAGATCCCAATTAGGAAACTTGTTTTCATATCCTAATGATATAACTTAAACTTATAATGAGTCAATAATATCATAATGATTCTTAACGAGTTCATTTAAAAACTAAACAAAATATCTTATTATGGTGTATGCATTCCATATGAGTATAACCTTTAACCACAAACCTGACTATTATATAATTCAATATTACCCTTTAAGTTATGTTTCGTTAGGAATGAGTCGACACTAAGTGGGTGGGGGGGTGTGAATTAGTACAATGGTAAAAACGTTGATTTCAAAAAATATTCGTTCGTTGAAAACCGATCGGAAAGATGTTAACTTAATAATACTTTCATAAGCGTATAATGAGGAAGTATAGCAGTGAGCAAGTAAAATGATTTGCAGTAAAGGTAAAGAACAAATTAAAAGGCAGCAAACCAATTTTATAGTGGTTCGGTCGTTGTGACCTACATCCACTCTCGATTCCTCTTCACTTGAGGCTACCGGCTTTCACTACCGGTCTTCCTTCAATGGGCGAAGGCCAACTACCCTTTTATACTCCTCTTCTCCTTTTCACAGGTTTAGGAGATAACTTTTTACAAGCACTCACTTATCTCTAAATAAAATTCTAAACTTAGAATTAGATGAGGGGATCTCTCAAGTGATTACTACAACGTTTTCCC